CTCCCTCTTCCTTCAATTTCCGTTTTTCCCCACCCTGGCAACTTTAAGGTGGGGCGCCTTAAATCCCCCAACTCCCCCCCGCCAGCACACCGGGCTGGGGAATTCTGGGAGTTGAAGTCCACCCATCTTCAAGTTGCCAAGGTTGAGAAACACTGTGCTAGACACTTAATCCTCATTAATGTCTAACCTTGCTGATACCTAAACTGAGCAGCTTGGGATGGGTGGGGGGGAAGAGAGGTTGCAGGGCTATAAAACTTGCCCAATGAAAGCAACTCCTTTGTTTGGCCTCACCCAGCTGTTTGGGGTCATATCCTTCTGACACTGTAAGTATATTCAGAGGCAATTCTTAATAAACCTTTTTCAAGATTTATTATCGTCCTGGCATCTCCCTTAGTGTTCTCATTCTTTGGTATCCGTCCTGCCCATCCTAAATTAAGTGTCGACACACAGATTAAAGGCGAAAGGTTCAGATCACCCTAAGCCATCGTGAAGATTGTTTGATTTGGCTTTAGCATGTGAATGCAGCCATTGTGGTTTGTAAACCATGGTTGATGGCTTAATGCTTGACAAACCCAGCCAATTGTCAATTATTCAGTAAAGCACTGTTAAGCACACCCTGAGCGCACTGGTTAAAGATATATTAATAACAGCCATGGTGCTGGCTTATAGGGCTAACATTTAAGACCTGGATAATCTGGGGGCAGGGGGAATGCTTGTCAAATGCTTAAAGAAGTCATTTTACTAATTATGCTTGACATTTGACAAGAGAATGAGAATTTAAGATTGAAGTATGTTCATCTGCCAAATACTGCATTATGTTTTGTGCTGACTGTTTTTCTAGTAAATGTCACATTTGTCAGAATATTTTTACAGTGGTAATAATTTGCTGCAGAAGAAATTACTGTCCCCTTGAAGAGCTCTTTGAATTTGCAGCACTGATATATCATGATGTTCTTTTCTATTGCTTTTAATTTCAAATGGAGCATCTTTAGTGTGTGGCAATGATAAGGACAAGTTAGAACTAGTCTATTTTAAATGAAATTGCATGCATATGTTCTTGGTTTGATTTTTTTCAAAGGGTGTCAATAGAGCAAGGGAATAAAATGTGATCATGCAAGACATAGGGGTTTAGTTTTATCTAACTAATAAAACTCAGAATTATGCAGAGATCCAAATTTAAAGTGCGAAATATGATTTGGAGGGTGCATGGCTACCTATGTTGCACCTGTTGGAACACCTTAAGGCATGTATTTTGGGGGGAGGGGGGGCTTCTGTGGCCGCCTTCTGTAAGTGTCATGTAACCCTGGAAAAAGATGTCTTTTTTTTGTGAGGGTTGGTGTGCCATGGTTCAGTGATAGAGCACTTCATGTAGGGTCCTTGCTTCAGCTTCAGGCATTGCAGGCTTGGAAAATATATGTGGAAGAAAGACTTGGAAGGTATATTTGCAAGGGCTATTATTAATTGGTGTGGGTGTGGATACCAGACTAGCAAACCAAATAGTTACACTCAGAAGAGTGCAGCTTCATGTGTTCAGAATTCAAGAACTGGGGTTTGGAATGAGTGAGTTCACATTTCAATGCCTTACAGTCTCAAACCATACCTTCACCAGTGTTTTCAAGAAGTCTTCTCTGTAAAACTCATGAAAGGTGACTGAACAGTACGTTAACTATTAATCATTGATTGCATAATTTGTTTGCTCCTTTGAAGGTGGTGGTGGTTTCTTTGGCCTTGAGGAAGAGGAAGCAAGAAATAAGGTAATGGATGAGAACATCCATATCCATACGTGGCCCTGTTCCTATTACCTCAACTCCGAGAAGCAGTGGGTTCCTGGCAAACTCTTGCTGACACCTGTTTCAGTAAGGTTTACAGCTGACAAATCTGGAGAACTCCTGGCCAGCTTCCATCTTTCCAGCATCAGCGAGATCAAGAAAGAATCTTCCACCTTCATTTTTAGTTCCCTCACTCTTTTGGAGAACAATACCAAGCACTGGTTCAGTTCCCTTCAGCCTAATCGAAATGTGGTCTTCAATGTTCTTGAACATTTTTGGAGAGAACAGCTGCTGTCATCTGATGGGGCTGGGGCACAGACAGCTTGTCCCCAGACATCCAAGGGCAAGGAGTTAACCGGTTTGTTGATGGGATCTCAGAAGCGCCTGGAAGATACTGCGAAGGTGCTTGAGCACCAGGGTGAACAGTTTGATAACATCATGAAGGGGCTGGACAAGATTGAATCAGAGATGGATGTGGCAGACAGGTATGGCGACACGCAACTAGTTCTGATTGCAGCTGTAGTGGGATCTGCACAGGGAGATGATTGGTGGGTCATAGGATAACATCTGGAGGTCTGCTTTGCTGGGAATCATAGAGGACACTCATTGGCAAACAGAACTTGTCATCAAGAACAAGTGGATAGCCACAGCTTAGAAGAGGTATATAGTTATTTAAATTCAAGGCGGATAGCTTGAACACAGCTGCTTTTGGGGAAGTATCACAGCCCAACGTTTTCTTTAATTCTCAAGTTTGGTACTCCAGGATAGGAATGGGGTCTTCCAATACTAATGAATTACAGTTCCTAGCAGCTCCAGTCAACACTGTCACTGGTGAGAGATGCCAGGTATTCTAGTCCAGCGCATCTGGAAGACACGTTTTCTCTTCCTGGGATACGCGATACTTTGCGTGCTGGTTTTCATTAAATGGCAAAACACACACCTAGTAGTGGAGAAGAGGAATTTCTTGCCTAAATCAATTCTAGGAGGCTCTGGGTGAGCTAGAGCTGAAATCAGCATTGCCTAAATCCAAAATGCTCTTCCTTGAATTATACTATTTCCCACCCAAAAAAAAAAAAAGGAAAGCATTTGTGACAGGCCAAAATCTCATTTGGATGAATATGGGTGACACCAGGCCTTTGTGGCAATTTCAGAAAAGTATGCGTGTTAGTTCAGGCAGAAGATGGTTGGGTGAAATTCAGCAGGTATTTTATTGATATGTCACAGGGGCCATTCTTTGCAAAGCTTTGGAGTTGGGAATACTGTATTTGCGAATGGTTCTGAGAAAGAAAAGATCATGGTCAATAGGAAAGTCTGTAGAAAGAAAATCCCTTTGTTCCAATTCTTCAGTAGAGGTTGGAAAAAATTTTACCTGTAGCCCAAACTATCTTTGGAAACAGCTCCTGAATAGTTTGATTGTATAGATTTTATTCTCTTTTTTCTTTTTCTGTCTCTTTTTCCTTTCTTTTTTTGCTATATCCAGCGATGGCAAAATTGGCTGTATATATTCATAATAGAAGTTTAACTACAGTGCATTCAAACAGAAATGGCTCCCTTAGATATGATACACCACACAGCAAGGCAGGTTTAGACATTTGAAATACGATTTTTAAATGAAAAAGAGTTGGTTTCAGTGTCTCATTTATATGTATCTATACTAATTTTGCTATCTGCTTGAAGAATGTAAAGTGGCCATATGTTTATAATACAGTTTAATATAAAAAAAAGATTGAGGGGATGGCAGGCAGGGAAACAGACAAATTGACTCTTGCCCTTTTGAGATGTTTAATTGGCTTTTCAAAGAAAAAATTATTTTTTTTTTTAACATAGTGCACTTGATCAGTCTTCAAACTTTATAATTCAAACTAACAACTCTGTGAATTCATTTAGATGCTTGGGATTACCTTCCAGTTTTAGAATGATGATAATTATAATTATAATTTACTTGGAATAGCTTATATCCTGCGATGACACCTTTAACACCATCAGACAACAACATCTGCCTATCCCAGGTCCTTGGGAAGAACTTGATAGGTGGTAAAAATGCCAGATGCAGTCTACACATCTGGCTGACTGTGCGACCAGCCATAATAATAGTTATGACAGCTGGCTGGGTGACTTTGGGCTAGTCACTGTCTCTTAGCCCAACTCATCTCACAGGGTTGTTGTTGAGGAAAAAATAGGAGGAGGAAGGAATATTCGCTATGTTTGTCACCTTGAGTTATTTATAAAAAATAATAAAGGTGGGATGAAAAAAATCTAAAAAAAATATTAAACTTGTATGCTGCCTGACTCTCAACAAGTCTGGGCGTTGCGTTGCCCCATTCACTGGTTTCTGAACAGGAACATTGCTAGAATAATATGCAATTAATTTTTTAGACAAATCGTTCTTACCTTTGCTTCACCATTGGTAAATAGCATGGATTTACAGTTTACAACATCCACCCATCCTCTGTTGGCTGACTACATCTGATGTCATTAAACATTCAGTAATTTTCCAACTTTTCACCATAAAAATGTTCCCAAAAGGCGCTTGACAAAAAAAAAAGATATTTCTAGAAAATAAATCACCTGTGAACTCCAGAAATTAGAGGAGTTATTCTCTGTTTGGCAAAAAAAAAAAGGGGGGGGGAGTTAAAATAGAAGCAGAGAGAAAAACTAGCTGCACGAATATGCAGAAAGCAGGAGAATTGAAGGAAAGGTTAAAGGGGTTACGGTTCTGTGCAAAAATATTTACAACCCTTTGGATTTTGAATTGTTTAATACTTTTGCCACTTAAGGTGATCAGAGCTTTTGTGAAGCTCCCACTAATACTGTACTATATGTAAAAGGACTCTGAGCAAACAGATAACACCAACATTTGCTGCAGCCTGCAGAAGTATTCCCCTCCCTCCCTGGTTCACTAGTTGTGTGTTAAAAAATCAGGTTCAATTTGCACCATCCCTGACCTATATAAATCTCAGGAACTTTAGCTCCTCTCAAAACAGTGACGTTCTCACCGTGCATGTCATGCCCTGCTTAAAAGAAATGTCTGAAGTCCTCCATAAAGAAGTTATTGATGCCTATCAGTCTGGGAAAGGTTACAGTGGCCTTCTGAAATCTCTGTGGTTCCACCAATCCATAGTCAAAGGTACAGTCCTGAAATGGACTTCAGGTCTCACTTACCTTAGTTAAAGTCAGAGTCACTAAGAAGGGCATTGATGCTCATCTCAAAACATCCAGGTTTGCCAGACAGCACCTGGATGATCATATCCCCTCTCCCATCCCACCCCAGCCGGGCTTCTGAAAGAATGTCCTGTAGGATAATAAGAACATGCCACCTGTCACTTATGGAGAGGGTAGTATCATGATATGGAGATGCTTTGCTGCCTCAAGACTTGCTCTTACTAAAGGAGCACGACTTCTGCTTTGTATCAGAGAATTCCATAAAGGTCTGTCAGCCATCTGTTAGTGCAGGTAGTTCATTCAGAAGGACAATGACCTAAAACATAAGCAAGTTTGCAAGAACATGGATGGTGTCCATGGGATTGAGTGTGCAGACTCTGACAGATGGAGAAGAGCACCATCAGTGTTTGGGAATGGCCAAATCAAAGACCAGGTCTAAATTCTATGGAAAGGTTGTGGCAGGACTGTTACTGAGTTCAGGCGGGCCCAGTGGAGGAATAGGCCCCAAATTCCCACACGGTGGTGCGAGGAACTGATTACCAGTGACAAGAAGCACTGAGATGCTGTGATTTCAGCTCAAGGTGATATAGTGCAGTACTGAATCAGACAGGGCAATTACCTTTTCCACACTGGCATATCACATGCTGAGTGACTTTTATTTTTTATTTTTTATTTTATTTATTTATTTAATTTATATAGCCATCCATTTCACATTTGTGACTCTGGGCAGCTTAAAATTAAAACAGAAAGTGCCAAAAAAAAAGAATAAAACAGCCATACAAACAATACAAACAATACAAATATTAAAAACAATTAAAAGCTACATAGTACAGTCACCTGGAGAGAACAGACGTTCAAGAGCGGTACAGCCATTTTATGGGCTCCACACCACTCTCTGATCCCCAAAGACTTTGTTTATAAAGTAAAAGAAACCAGCACAAAATTGTCTTTATATATTAGTAGGACCCACAGAGGTGATAATATTCGTTGGGAAAAATATGCAACAATTCAGAAAATCCGAAAATGGACGAATGCTTTTCTCCAGATCTATATGTAGTAGTTGTGATCAGGATTGGAGGAAAGGATTACTCTGATAAAACTTATTTCATTTTCTTTATTATTTCAATTTTTATGACCACCCACCTGCTGTGCAGCTAAACGGCTGACAGAGGTCTAAAAATGTCAAGCTATAACACAAGTTTAACATGCAGACATACCAAAAATTGATTACATCTTTTCACTGGCTTCTTAAAGAATTGATTGGCAATCTAATGTACAAATTCAAGTTGCTTTGTCTAAACTGCTTCCTTTAAAACTCAACCTTGCATAAAGACTTATGGCTTCTTTCTCAGTTTAAGCTTACATACTAACAACATGCCAAATATTTCATTTTAAATGCTTGGAATATTTTTTTTTCCAGAAGCATATAAATGTAAAAGTATTGCAGAAATATGTAAATGTTTAAGGGAGTGCACTTTTAGGAGGAATCTAAGAAGTCCAGGTAAACTGTACTTGCTGTGCTGAGCTTTTTGCTGAAATAGGAGCATAGACACACTTCTGGTGTGGTTGTGAAGGGAGGAAGGATTATGAACTGTTCCACTGAGGAAGGGTGGGCAGCTAGTACCACTATATATCCCCGTCCCTCCCTCCCTCCCTTCCATTTAAAAACTGCCCAGCTGTATAACAGCACTGAACATGGATGATGGCAAAGTATTATGGGACTTATATATAATATCAGAGCAACAGACTGTCTTTCTCAAGATAGAGGGGAGGAAAATGCAGAAGATACAGACTGTAATAATTGTCTTATTGGGTGCTGTCATTCAAAAAGCAGTTATTGGGCATGGCACAGATATTCTTCCATAGGTAACCCAATCAGTGTGTATAGTGTGGCATAATCACAATGTTTGTCCGTGCTCAGGCCGCAGGGAATAACATTCAGCCTCTTCCAGCTGCTCCATGTTGAACTCTGTCTTCATAAGACATCAGAGAGCTTATGGTGGAAGTCCAAAGTAGCTGGACTCTCATCCATTCCAACTAGGTAATCTGTATATGAAAAGATAAGACTTCGCTTTCTGGGGGCCAAGTCTGTTTCTGAACCTGTTGCTTTCCTCTTCCTCTTAGGTTATTGTCAGAACTTGAATCTCCATCTTGGTGGCCTTTTGGTGGAAAACTACCCAAGGTAGTGTCTGAAGGAGGAAAGGTGAAGGAGAACCCCATGGGTTCAGGTTCTAAAGGCAAGGATGGAGTGATAGTGCAAATCCCAGTTATCATCACCGAAAGGACAGATTCTAATGTCAAACCAGGCAGCCTCATGCTCTCAGTTTCTGGCCTGAAGATCAGCGACTCCAAGTCTCAGCTGCTACACTGGTTTGACAAGAGGGATGTTGATGACGTGAAAGTTCACACACCCTATGAAATCTCTATCCGCCAGAGGTTCATTGGGAAGCCAGACATCTGCTATCGGCTGCTGTCGGCAAAGATGCCAGAAGCCATCCCCTTCCTGGAGATGCAGTTCAGCAAGAAGATTCAGTTCCTGGAGGATGCTTTGGGGCTGGCGCAGGCTAGGAGGACTCCTCAAGAGGAGTTTGGGGGTTCCATTTGGCAAGCAGGTAAGAGACAGAAGAAAAAGACCTTCAAATAATTGGAATATGCTTTTTGAGAAATAATAATCAAAGGAATAGGCATTTAAGCAGCACCTCAGAGCCTTCTTCCCAGCATGATGTCCTTCAGATATCTTGACCTGCAGTTCCAAGAGTCACACATAACTGAAAGGCACCCGATTGGGGCAGTCTCCTTTGGAGCATCTAGAATGCTTCAGATACTCTTCTAACAATCTTCTGAGATAGATCTTCATTGTAGATGACCTGGGCTGCCACTGGAGGTTCTGTGTTTGAAGCTGCTAAATAATTACTCTTCTCCTGAAACCACAGAGTTGCTGATGCAAGGGGAAGGACTACTGGAATTGCTACAATAACCTTGAAAGAAGCTCACTGGATGAGTCCCGTTTTCATCAGAGGTTACCAAGGGTTTAGATACCATGTCCCTCCACTGATATTTGAATCCATTACCTCCCAGACATGGGGAATGAAAGCCCAACCTAACGCGTGGGTAACACCACCATCTGCGTTTCCATTGTCAAGCTCATACTTTTAATCAGGTTTGTAAGCTCCCCACATACACCCCCTTGCCTTGAAGAGCACTTCTAAATATGATGCTTTAGGTGCTGCTGGATTGCAGCCCCCCTCATTCTTCACCATTTCCCATGCTGGCTGGGACTGATGGGAATTATTCCTCTAGCAGAACATACTAGAACTTCTAGCAGAATATACGTTACCCATCCTGAGTTAACGTCTCAGTTCTCCACTGCTCAGAGATTAGGAATACCTTTATCATCCTCCAGGTCTTTGCTCCCCAGGGCTGCTGTAATAGGTAACTCAGCACATTCTTCATTTGGTTCTGAATCCTGTGCTTTTCTTTAATGGCTACTCTTCTGTCATTTCCTGCCAGGAATGTATGGAAATTCCCAAAGTTGATGCTCTGAGCTCACAATACATTTTACATAGTTTACTTTGAGCAATTCAGCATGTTTTGGAGTCTGGCTGTTGCAGAGTGTGCAGAAGCCCTAGTGTTTGATCATGAATGCCTTCCTGCTGTGCTTAAAAAGAGCTGTCAGGCAATTAAAACAAGCTGGCCTGTTAAGCAACTGGGTTCCATTGCACCCTGTGCTAAAATTAAATTTCATCAGAGATTACAGTGTTCTCTTGTTGGCCGGTTGCTGAGATCTGATGCTCAGAAAAGCTTGTTAATTTTTAAATGAAGGACTCCCAGGCACCAGCTGGTAAAATGCTAGTCTAACTCCTCAGAGGCAGAACAGCCGGTTGGTTTTTAAGTGTGGTTCACCCTGAGAAATAATGTTCAGCTCATGATGTGACAATGCCAGTTATAAAAAGAATTGCTTTTGTGAGTCTTTTTAAACTGATCCTATTTGTGCACCAAATGGTTTGCATTAACAACTTACAGGAGTTTGATGTCCTCTCTCTCCTCCTCCCTCACTGTTTTTATGCTTTAAGTAGCAAACTTCAATAACAGAAATCCAGCAAGAATGGAAATGTTGGTTTGTGCTGCGTCTCCAAAAGCCAGTCTCGTCTTTTTGCCACTGAGAATTGCCACTAGATGGCAATCAACCACCACACCTGATCAGCCAGTATATATTTTTTTATTTCCTCAGCTATTTCACGAGTAAAATATGTCATTTTTCTAAAGAGGTTAGGGCAGGGTTGAAGCTAGCAAAATGTGTTTCTTTTATTCATCACCCAAAGCCGGTGAGAGGCTTTTAATGGAATCTTGCACGAAGGAACACATGCACAAATTCTTGCTGCTTTGGGACCAGCTATTGGGTGTCTCAGATTATAGTTCCAGAGTCATTTCTAGTCAGACAAAGAATAGCATGACTTGTGTGCACTGAACACCCCTCTGAAAGAGGCCCACAATTTTAGGTGGAAATTGCAGTCATTTAATCTCTTCTGGCCGTTGAAACTTGGAGACTTAAACCAGGTTCTTTGTCGGCCTGATGCCCTCCAGGTTGATTGAGTCGATTTATATTCTCTTTTCTCCAAGAGCTGAAGGTAGCTTACAGGGGGATTTATCCCCATTCCAGCAGCCCTGAGAGGTAGGGTGCCCAGAAAAAGAGAGGAGTGACTGGCGTCCTAAAGTCACCTAGTGAGTTTCTGTGGCACAAGCCTGGATCTTCCCAATTCTAATCTAACAATTTAACCACCGCACTGTACTGTCTTTCAGTCGTGTTATTTTATGTCCGTCATGATAGGAATTAAGATGGGGAAATTCGTAGGGTACCAGTTGGGAAAGGCTCCCTTCACCACTGCAAGCCATCAAATGCCTTTTTATTCCAGTGGCCACCATACATTAATGCCAAAAGGGGGTGGGGGGAATCCCTACCCTGGTTATGCTAGACATGCAACTTCCTTGGACCTGGATGCAATTTTTGCTGCCATGGATTTTTTTGGTGGCAGATAAAATAGGCAGGGCCCTCTTGCCCCCTTGAAGGAACCTCTGGCTATACAAGCTTGTGTTTGGCCAGATTCTGGCCTCAGCTGGATTCTCACTGGATGAGTAATGGTGCGAGGGGTGCTCAGCTTTTACGCATACGCCCCTCTTTAGGACTGGGTTGATTCAAATCTGGGAAGTTTCTAGGGGAAGGCAGAGCACAAGTGCTCTGCTCAGTTCATTTAGCCATCTGTGTTTTCTGTCTATTTCCTGATAAGCAGGCCAGGTTTTTTTTAAGCGTGCTGCGTTCTGTCATTATTGCCTCTTTGTTGTTAGGGGAAACGTTTCATATGAACGTATAAGGCTGCTTCATATCCTATTGGGGCAAACTACTGCTTTGTTTAGTCTGCAGGTATTATCAGCGGCTTCTGCGGGATCTCTGCTGGAAGACCTTCCCAGCTGTACTGAGATCCCTCTAAATCAGAAGTGAGCAACTCACAGGCAATTCGATCCCCCCCCAGCTCTTTTTTCACTTTTGGTGGTTAATCCACCCCCTTCCCCCCAGGCATGAAGGGCTAGATTGTCTTTTGAAAGCTTGACAGTATAGTTTGCACAGGGACGGGGGCGGTTTGGCTAGGGCTGACATAAGAGTTTGATTTTACCTCACCCCCAAATTGAAGCATCACACCCTGTGAATCCCTTGGACCCTGTAGCGCAACCAGGCACACGGGGTTTGCTGAGCTAGACTCTTAAGTCGGCATTCTGCTGGCCAGCCTGAGGAGTGCTGGGAGTTGTAGTCCCAACGGTTCTGGGCAGCGCTGTAAGGGAAGGGGCTTCTAACGGAATATGCTGGGAGTTGATTGTAGCCGTGCAACATTGCCCAATTTTGAGATAGTGTGGAAATCCCTGGAAACTATTGGGGATGGAGGTAGGGAAAGGGCCAGGAAGCAAAGCAAAAGAATCCACATGCATTGGGTGTCTCCAACTCTGATACAAGATAGTCTCCCCCCATGTGGAAGTCATACAATCCTTCAGCATTTTGAGGTTTGTGCCATTTGTCAGCGGCAGAGCGCATGCCAAGAGCAGAATCTTTGCAGAATTCTCCCTTGCAAGTGAGATCAATAGGTTGGAAAAACAAGCACCTTGTTTGCTTCAAGGCAGTGCACCAGCGAACCGCTTGTGGGTCAGAGCAAAGGGCGCATTTCTCCAGCCTCTCATTACTTTCGTGGCTGCTTCCCACCGTCGGCCATATTTTAAACTCCATCCTGAAACAGCCAGCTGGGGAAAGTTGGATTTATGAATTTATAAATAAGGTGGCTCCCAGTCACACTATCAGTAAGGTGCATTCGGTGGGTGACTTTGGACGTTTTGCACCTGTACCAGCCGTTTGGTTTGCTGGGTATGAGCTGGCGGGTTTCAGACAAAGTTAAATTTAGACTGGCATGAATGTCTCCCTTGTGGCGAAGCTGCCCGGGTCCCAGTTTGGGAGCTGAGGCTGCGATAACCAAATAATTCCAGGGGATTAAGAGTTTGCAGTAATTACTCCTGTGGGGATTTAGGGCCTTGTATTTTTAGCTTTAGCTTTTGTGTCTGCCTTTTACATTAAGTAACACAATCCAGAGCAGCGGGCAGGCGCTGTCCCCCGGCCAGTCCTTCTGGCACAGATTCTCCAAAACCTGAGCAAGCTTCAGCTTCCCAACCTACTTTCTGGCCCAGTGCCCCGCAGCTGTCGCAATGGAGGTGGTGTGTGCTCTGGGCAGGGTGCTGCTGCCCCCGCCCCCATCCAGCATATCCTGTTCCAGTAGAGACTGTTGGGGTGGAGAGGAGGGTGCTAGGAGTATCTCAGGAATGAGCTACACCTGGTGCAAACCGCCCGCAGCTCCGGACTGCAAGTAACGGCCTTTAATTGCCACACGTAGCTTGGATCGGATGCCGTGATCAGAGCCAGGGCTTTAAATAAACCACAGACGGCGTAGCTGCTTCGGGAACCACCACCCACATGCTACCGTGTTGTTTTATTCCGGATACCCCAGGATCATCCAGTCTGATTTTTTTGTTCTGAGGTTGGCAGACTGACTGACCGCAAATTGCGGGTGGATCCCCAGGGACCTGCCGGCTGGTGTTTTTGTTTGGTCAGGTGACTCGATCGGTTGACCTCTGGGGAGTCGAGAGAGGAAAGCCATGTGCCTTGTGGCTTTAGAAGAGTAATAGGGACTTCACATTTGGCCAGCAAGGGATGTCCAGAACTGGAGGGTGGGTCCCCCTTACCAAACCATAGCTGGAGGATACTTTGCAGGAGAGAGGAAAGAATTATTCTGGTGGATTTCCACCAAGATGGGAAGGGGAATCCCTCCTCCTCCTCACCCCCAGAGTGGGCATTAATCATCCCATCAGACTTTTGCACCTTGGTCTTCCTCTCTCCTAGCAAGGCTTGGATTCTGGAATAATCCTGTGAAATTCACAAGACCTGTGGTGCAGCCTGTTTGCATTTCTTGCATTTGCTGAGGGGTTATGCA